ATATATATATATATATACATAGAAGGGCGTGTGGTTATCCCCGCTACCGGTTCGTATTTTCCCCGCGGCGCGGAAGCACGGAAACCGAGAATCGCAACTTCCAAGGCTTTAAGGAGGTGTTGGAGGTGTTTTTCGGCAAACAATTGGGGAATCGCAATGTCAAGGGCTGCGATTTGTGGCACGGCACTCGGGAATTGCAGTTTGCTATCAGGTGAAACTGTGCTCTCGAATAGCACGGACATGGCACGTGACACCGACACTGCCAACGAAAGTTGCTTGGAGCTTGCATGTCCCTACAACCAAACTTTTCTGTGCAGCTCTCTAAACATCCATCTGAGAAACGCTTGAGGCATCCCGTGCGGCTGCCTGGTCGGAATCACTGATGTTGAAATCCACAGGTGACAGTGGCACCTTGGCACTTTCTGTTTCCCACCCTACTTCTCACCCTACCATCCTAACTTGTCTTAATGAATGTCTGAGAACTCTGCCCAAGTGTATTGCGGAATGGCATAGGTTGGATCAAACGAAACGGCTTCCGCGTCGTAGGCCGGGTTGAGTCCATATCGATATGCCTGATGTTGCATCTGGAGTTCCTAAAAGCCTAAACAACATGTGATGTTCAGCTCAAAAAAACTGACTCGGAGCGCCGCCGTCCACTGGAAGGTATAGGACGTGTCATTCTGAGGGTTCGTGATCTGCCGCAACATTTCGTTGACAGAGGAGCATGCAGTGTGCAGCCACGCGGTAGCTGGCCTCACCACGCAGTCGCAGCGTAGAGCCAGCGAATATCGGCTGCGGGCCTGATATGTTTGAACAGAGCAAAAACGATTCCACAGGCAGGTGCATCCAAGACCGAGGCTTTCCAGGAACACAGCAACGAGGGGAGTCCTGTCCGTGATTCAAAGCCAAGCATGACAAAAACTATCTTCGACTTTCATGGGTGCGAGGCAGGAATGTGCAGACTTCCGGCCTTTCTGGGTCGATCTCCGTGTCCGCTTGCACTAATATGTAAAGGCCTTCGGTTCCCGGGCATGGCACCAGATCTGTTTGTTTTCTTGGCTTGGCTCCATGCTGCTCGAGTCCACCCTTTCAGCGCCCATAACGACCTTCGAGGAGTTCACAACCTGAGAGCATCGGCAGCATCGGATTGGCCGTGTCAAGCTGCCTGGACTAAACGCCCTGCCAGTGTTAACTGCTTCTGCATCGTTGTAAGGTCGAAGCGAAGACGTACGAGCCAGTTTCGAAAAGGTTCGGCTGGAAAATCTGCCATGCGGGACGCATGGGGGGAGTATCCGCATGTGGTGTGGCTTGGCAAGCAGGTCGGGTCTACGAAGGTCGTCGCTGAGCCCTTGCAATGCTGCACGACCTAGGAGCAGAAAGACGAAGTTCACACACAGTCGGCACGAGCAGTCGCAATTCAAGGCTGGCTGCATTCGAGTAGGGAGGAAGGCTAATGCCGTCAGCTTGGTTGTAGTCCTGATAACAAGTGTCAGAGGTCACAAAACTCTGGCCAATACCCATCATTTTGAGTATGCGCAAGGAGACCTTGTCGCGGTACGTGAACTTCATCGACTGCCCGGGCGGATCCGAGAGGGGATCTTCCACGTCCGTGCAAGCTTCGGCAGTCTGCGCAAGGGAAGGTCACTCAACCCTCGCTCGTGCTCGCACTCTTCGTGCCCGCTCTGGCTCTCATTCTCTATCTGGTGCTTTCCCTCTTCCTCTCTTCCGGGCCAGACCCTGAAAATGCTGAGCGCTGCACCAGCTGGATTGTGGGGCCCTGTTGAGGAGTTACTACCGAAGGGAATCAATAAACTCATCAGAAGACGCATGAACAGGCCTGCGTTGCAAAGCACGGATCTTGCGTGCCTCGCTCGAACTACACAACCGTTGAACTGCTGATGAAACAGATGCTCATCCAATCTCATGCAAATCGCAACTCTGTCAAGACATTTCGACCCCACGTCTGGCTCACTGCTCCTGCTCTTCTGCTACAGTGAGATGGGAAACCAAGCACAACAGCAGGTCATCACCACAGCGTAACGTGAACGTGCTACATGAAACTGCTCAACAACCACCTCAACAACACCGGTCGCATGAACAAGCGTTTGCCCCTCCAAGACGCGTCTATGACCTGACGAACTGCAAGAGTGTTGAGGTAGCACCACCGGTCGACCGCAGTCATGCTTCAGCTGTGGCAGGGCAACTAAGGGACAAAGCCCCGCAACGCCTGCGCACTCTACTGTACAAACTACAGCCGTGCAAAGATCACGGTAGCACTGATGAACCGCAGTCACCACGGCAGCTTTTGACTTAAATACAGAAGCAGAGACATGTCCCTCACGAATCAGCCAGAACTTTCAATCGCGCGGTACCGCGGCATGGTGACTGGATAAACACAAGCCGTACGCACGATCTTGCAGATCGGTATCTGGCGATTCAATCTTCACGCGCATCCTTAGTAGTGGCGTGTTTCCAGGTGTCCTGGCAGCAGCTTCCACTTCCCTAGCTGGTGTAGCTGCCGGTAAAGAAGGTGCATGCTGGAAGAGACAAGATCTTTCCAAGCACAGGTGTTTCAGGAAGTGCACTCAAATCGCTGCTTCAGCTGCTCCTCATCACATGTTCGTCGCTACTGACGGTTTGAGGACCTCAGCAGTCAGAGACAGCCGAAAGCCCACAGGGATCCCACAAAGCGCATCAAAGCGCGTGGCCGAGAATGCACATGTGAGATCCTCGTCAATAGAGAGCACCTCTCGAAGCAAATATGCACATCAGTCGTGTATGGACGCAAGACTGACCCCCGAAATGATTTGCTGATGAGCAAAGCACTGCGGCAGCGTTGTCGAACTCTCCGCAGTAGTTCGGGGCGGAAAAGATTGTAACCTCGATAGTAGAGGCAGCTTCGACGCCAAATTGCGCAACAGATGTGACGGCATGCATGCCTTACGCGTGTGCTGTTGTGATTGCAACGCCGTTAACTACAGCTATGGGTCACAATAATGTCTTTGGTGGTGGGAACTGTTGCTGTCAAGTGACCAGTCCTCTTTCAGCAAAGAACTCGTACCCATCCTCAACCACCTGTCGGAATCATGCAAGCACGCTTCTTCGCGTATGCGAGAAATTCGTTTCTGCTGACCGGACTCCCAATGGACTCATCTTCACACGGTTCCCTGCCTGATGTGCTCTGACGATCCTTAGAGTCTCTTTCTCCTCTCATCGCCGTCCAGTTTGTGAGTTTTGGAGCTAAGCTGCAGGTCAAGGTCATGCGCCCTGAGGAACTGGGTGACAACTGCCGCGCCAAATGAAACTGACACGCCACGGTCGTTCTGTCCAAAGCCAACAGTGGCCTGCGAGTGCAAGGGGGGCACGTGCGCGTTTGCGCGCGACTCGTTTATGGCTTCATCTGCCTCCGAGGGATCCGACCACAACAGATCACAAAGAAACCCGGAGTCCGGGATGTCTGCGGGCCTGAGGCGCACATGTGCACTCTGCAATCAATATCAATCAATACAACTGACCTGTCAAGCACGATGACGATGCCTTACACATGGCTGTGACACTGTGTGCATGCCCGGCCTGACGAGATCGTTTATCTTCCGTCTCAAGTCGATGCTGGAGTCCATCATGTCTTGGGACAAGCCACCATGCATGCAGATCACCTGTCCGTGGACATCGTGGACTACGCACTGGGACATGAGGATCCCTTCAACGATTGCAGTTCCCCTCGGCCTGCTGCAGACGCATATTATTCAATGGAGACGACAGAGAATCTCTGGCAAAAAAGCTTTAGTTTCGAGCTGATGGACAGTCGGCCTTGTCGGCGATGATGGCACAAGCTGGCATGTAATTGAACACGTCGCCTCGACTGTACATCGGACTGCAGGGCTCCTGCGTGGCGCACGCACCATTCCCAGCCAAGTTGCAAAACCTTTTCCAAATTCTGACGTGGAATCGGCTCTTTATTTCGTCATAAAAGCCATAGATCCTGCACCAATGCACTTGATATGCAAGACCGTGCATGGCATGCATGTGCCGAGTTGTCATTCTCACATCATGAATCAGCTAGTCGCGTCCTGCAGATGGATGGTGACTCGTGGTTTCCACGAAGCAGAAAGAAGTTCTCAGGGAACTTTATCTGGCCGGCGGGGCGGAGCAGTGTGTGGCTACGGCTATGCAGATGCCAGCGCTCGTTATTGAGTCACGAAATCATTATTCATCAGTCGTGGCCTTGTAAGCAAAAAGGAGGCAAATCGTTTCCAAGCTGCGCTTGCCCCGGTCCACGTAGTCACCGAGAAACAAATAATTCGCCTGACTTGAGAGGCGACTGCAGATGCATGACTGTCTTTGAATGCAGGCGCCTGGGGTGGGTAGCCGACTGCATCGAAGATCCGCAAGAGATCGTGATACCTCGCCGGGAGTGAGCATGCTCGCGGCAAGATTATCTGTCTAAGTCGGGGCTGGGTACTGTCCGTGCACATCTCCGCACAGATGTAGTGGCGACTCGGTGGGAGCAAGTTCCAGAGTCTGCTGCAAGAAATTGGTCAGCTCGGGCGACAACAACCGGGCTCGATGCGTCCAGTTCCAAAAGCATCGGCTGATTGTTGAATATTGCCATAGACTGTTCGCATAAGCCCAACACCGTCTCCTTTCACCAGGCCAGGCTGCAGGACAATCGGGAACCAAATGGGAATGCTGTCCGTGATCGTGCCTCCGTCATATGAACCATTTGTTGCATGGGGGTCCTGCACCAGAGTGGGCACGTCGAGACTTGTTTACGACTACACACTCGGTCAAGTCCCGCCAGCAGTCATCCTCAGGACTGGAACTTGTGCTCGGTCTTACGTACAGTTGCAATGAGGCGAAAGTTTCGGATTTCAAGAGCCAGGGCGATCCTAGCAGGATGCCGGAATTTCACAGCAGCCATGAGAGGTGTACACACGCGGACATAAGCAACAAGGAAAACAGAAGTAGCCACGATTGCGGCGGGGGCTTGGTGGATGATCGGATTGCAGTGACTTTCTGCCGCTTTCTACCCTAGTGCAGCCCGCACGAGAACATGCCTGCACGGATGCCTCCACATATTCAAGCACATTCACGCTTCCTTCCATGCTTGGAACAATGCAAGCATTCCTGCCGTGGGCTTAGGCTTCTTGCGTGCCTGATTGCCTAACTGCTTCATGTGCGCATGCCCTGCTATGTACCGTTGGCATGCATGATTACTGGAGTCGAAGACCCCCGACATACACACAGAGCCACACACAAACACACACTTGACACACGGAGACGGTGGCAGCAAATCGGTAGAAGGCTTTTGCCACTATCGATCCAGTATTCGCGGTACCTTAATAGCCTGACATGTGTAACTCCATGTACATGACTGTCATGACCATGCTCTCACTCCAGCTCAAGGACATGATGTAGATGTAGCCACAAGCTGCACTCTCGTGCCCATGGCGACCACTGCAGGTATGTTTACCTGTCTCAACTCACGGAGCTACGTTGGCAGAGGCCGTGAGATGAGACCCTCTGCCCCCTACCGTTAGCTTAGAATCAACGCTCACGCACACACACATTAACAAGATGCAGACGCGTGGAAACCCGGTATGCTTTTCATTGTCATCAACTGACGACAATACGATTCTGCTCCCATCCTTTTGCGAACATAGAGGAGTTGGTCAAGGACTGCATCCACGTCCAGCTCCTGCGATATGAGTGGCCGACACGCACAGGCACAGGGATCTTTGTCCAAGAAAGCCTGTGTCTTGCGCTTTTTCTGCGATGGCTCTTTCTCAGGCTCCATGATCAAGCCGCCCGTTTACCCTGCAGGTGCCAGCGCGATCCGAAAATGAAAGCTGATGACGGTTGCAGGCTTTGAGCTTGCCTGTGGGCACGGGCCTGGCTGAGCCCGAGGACCTCACCTTGAGCCCTCGCAGCTGCGGGGTTCGCGCTTCCTGCCTGCATGCCTACACCCAAGGCTCTGCTTTCATGCCTGGCACGTTCGCAGCACTCTGCCAACCCCCTTTGATACACTGGGATCCGAACCCTCCTTCTGGCAGCTGTAAGTGTAGGTCTCGGCATTCATCAGACACAGTCAGTCGCATCGCGAACTAGCGCTGCCATTCACTTTGAAGCTGGCGGTACGCCGGTACGAATTACTCAGTGCTGGGGGGCGGGCAGTAGTTGCCAAGTTGCTTGCCTGAAGGCACTGGAAGCTTCCACAACATCTCTGCGGTTGTGAAACAGCAATGAGCCAGCTGCAGGGTCGGAATAATCCAGGGATTCAGTGAAGTCCACCACGATCGCACGATCCCTGGCCATAGCTCAGCTGCATGCATTGGACGTGACATGAGACGCTCCAGTCTGAGGCTAATCTGGTGGGTGCATAACCGGCCTCCGAGATGAAAAGCCTGTGCCTCCGTAGTAATTAATCGTGAGGTCGCCAAGTACCTTTCATGGCAGCACATGCCAGCAGCACCACGAATCCCATGCAGTGCTTTTGCTATCTGCAGCGCACCACTTCTACTTCTGCGCTGACTACGTTTTGAAGTGTCAGGTCCGCTGTGGCGTTGCTAACGTTGACCTCTCCGGGGAAGTAAGAGCAGTACTTCGTTGCGGGTGCTCAAGACGACGCACAATCAGAACATGCCTGGCCGGAGATAGTAAAGATGTATGTCTCCAGCGGCTCCAAGGCAAACGGTCTAACCTTTGTCCATGAACAGACGAAATGCTCCTGCCATTCGACGCGAGTCAAAAACAGAGTAAGGGATCTTCTGTGTGGCAGAGATACTAAGGCCGGTGCATACAACGACCGGGAGAAGAATCCCGATATGTCGTCGAGGTTAATGCCGCTCCCCCACCTCAGCAGCATGCGGCATGATGCATCAAGGGCCTACCCCAGCTGCACCTAGATAAATAACGAAAAGTACGCACTCTCACACGCCCCTCAGCGGCGAGGAATGGTGTTTTCGCCAGCCCATGCTGAGCTCTGGGTGTTTTCAAGACATTTGCAAACCTTCCTGCGTGCTTGTGACCTGTGCTTTGCCTCTCAGCAGTCACTTTGGTCAGGCTTACCGCCCTTGCTGCACTACTATACGGCGTCATGCAGGTCCCGCTTGTGCAGACCGATCGATGCACTTTTACCATCTTTCACTACCACGGAGCAGTCCCCCGAGTGCTAGAATGCTCGCAGCAGCATGAAGAGCACCATGGAGACGTTCAAGCTGACAACAGCCGGCACAAATGCACAGTGCCTACTAGCAAGTACCGGCAGCCACATCAACGTCTGGAGACTGAAACTCAAGCCATTGTGCGGAAAAGCCCATGCAGCCGCAGCTTCAGAGACCCATAGGCAAAGTAGCTCAACTATCCGTATCCGATGTCAACGTCATCCCTCGCGAGGAAGCGATGATTGGCTTAAAAAGCATGATACGCAGTCAGATTCAGCATCGACACGGAAGCAACACAAAATCACAAAACAGTTCAAAGTGAGAATGTGAACTTCTCGGTTTTCGATGCTTCAAAAGCTGGTCTTGGAAAACTGAAACAGGCACCGAGACGGATCACACCAGGGTCTGTGAGGCATGCAGGACAAGCCGTCGGCACAAGAAAAAAAGCGCAATGCCAGAAACTCTGCGGCGACGCACCTGGATCATCGATTCTTTCGCAACGCAGGAAGACACGACATGACTTGCCGGAACATGCCAGAATGGGGTGGGAGCATCCTTGATGCCGTTGGAGCTGTGCTGCATGCGCTGCGCAAACTCGCAGTTGCAAGGTTCAGTTTTGCTTTCGCAGGGGCCGCGATGCCAACACTGCACAGAGACTGCACAGAGGACCGTACAAGAAAGCAGAGGGCTCGCCGCACTAGTGATTAATCGAGAAATCTAGGGCACCGGCGTACTACAGCCCAGTATGCTGCCTTGCCTGGGTAAGGAACCGGCATCTGCTGGCATCTGCTCTCGCTTTATTTGATCATCTTCTATCCCATCTATACATGCAGCGCATCAAACTTAGGCAGTGGCAGCAGGACCGCATCAGACCTGTGGCTCGGGGAAGATGCTGGTTGACAGCAGGCGAAGAATTGGCAATGATCGCCTTTTACACGCCGTCCATGTGTACTGGACTGCACCACGTCCCAGTGCTTCTGCGCACCTCGCGGCACTGGTACTGCACAGCATTTATGTCTTGGAACGTTGCTATTTCGGTTTCAGGCAAGCACCCTTCCATGAAGATCTCCGATACCAGGCTCAACGAGCTCTCCACCTTCCAGTTCAGAAGCTTGGAAGCTGAAATGGTCTCTAATGGACTGCGCCTTGAGCTGCCGGGAATACGACCCATAGATCACCTGCGCGATTCCGGGCGCAGCCGACTGCCGACAGGAAGCTGGCGACTGCCCGGCCATCGGGGGAACTGGTAGCGGCGACACCACCACACCTTGGACATCAGAGCACGGCCAGTAAGTCCAGCGTGGCAGCAGCTAAACCGAGGACGGTGCTATAATACGTTGTATCAGACAAGGCCGGGTTCCAAAAGGATTGCACCTGTTTCCAGCCAAACTAAGACCACTGAGACCAACATACCAAAGTCTGGCAAAGGCTCGTTCGTTGAGTCTCAAGCCGTGAGCGAAAAGTTGTACCTCGCAAAACTCACCAGGCTTCCTCCACGCACACTCAGCATACGTGCACCGTAGGCGCACAGCGTGTTGCCTTGCATGAGGTATGGTGGAATTCGAATGACCTGTGCTGCCACCTGACGGCATGCTACCGGCATCATAGCTCATGGAGCTTCCGTTTGAATTGCCTTCTCCGCATCACTGCCAGATTGCCAACTGACCCCTCTTCACACTGACCTCGCCTCAACTTCTATGGTCAATCTGGGGAACCAGCAGGGGCTTCGGCGGCCATCGCCGATTCCACGATCTTCTGAAGCTGGCGTATGTGAGGTTCTGGCCTTGGCTGAGATCTCGGCAAGACCCGACAGCTTGAAATTCCCCAGGCACAGGCATGCCAACTCGCGTGGCTCCATGATCACAACAGAACAGGACCGTCGCAATGCAGTGTATCAGGGTCGCCATCCCAATTCTCGGAAACAAGGTAAACTCGCAAAGCGGTGTAAACTGAAATAAGCGAACTGCCAAAACGATCTCTCAGAATTGCGTAGCTAGTGTGTGGCGAGCATGTAACGTTTCGAAGCTTCGACCTCATGTCGTCGACATCTACATCTGCATGATGGAAGCTTCTCAGCCTTCTTTAGGTGTTTAAGCCTAGGGCGGAAGCCTGGTCTAGCCTGCTGGAAAACCTCCTTCGATGCTTTGATGAAAGCAGATATGGGAACCAGTTTTTGCTATGCTTCTCGACATGCTTTGTGCTTGTGCAGGGGCTGTTGCATCCCGGGCCAATGCAAAGGTTGTGCTTGGTCTTGCTGTACAAAGCACTCGATATGCAGGTATACTACATAATTCGAGTATTATGATAAAGGCTTGCATGACCTTCTGCCAGCTTCACGTCAGCAAACCCTCCCTTAGCCCTGCCCCCACAATCTGCTGGCACATGCTAGAACCTTTGACAACCTGCCAGGGGGCTTCAAACTTATAAACTAATGCTGCAGAAAGCCACTGCAGCCGGCACAGGTAGCAACCCCCACCGTTTTTTAACATGACGTCTTGTATGGATTAGCTTCGTGTCCTTTTGCACTCGCACCGTCACGCTGGCATGCGGTTAACTAAGTAGCTACTGTGTACAACCGACATATTCATTTACACACACCTGTAGCACGGACATAACACCCCATTTCACACTGATGTCTCTGTAAGAGCACGCAACTATCAATGGAAGAGGTGGGTCGGATAAGCTTCTAGAATTTCCGAACGAAGAAACTTTTCAGGTGGATTTGGAGGAGTTTGCAGTGAGTCACTGCAGACTGGGCTGATTGATAGTGATTGTAAGAGCTTAAAGCATTTCTTTGATGAGAGCTTTCCTGCCTGAGCAAGATAAGGTCTCAGACCCGATTCCGATTCCGCTTGTCACATCTAGGTTCTGGGAAATAAAAGAATGAGAACCGACGTGTGGAAGCAGCTTCACAGCAAGCGCCCAGCACGAAGCCTGGCAACCACAATTCCAAGCATTAAGTCACGAGTTGCCATGACCGGGCCGTTGCCTATCCCCGTTCGAGTTGCTGTTGCACGCATAGCTTCAATTGTCTCAAGGACGCAAGCCTCAGATCTCTCGGATTTTGCATGGCCACGGTGGCCGGCGCGGCGGTCAAGACATGATTCGGCGAAGATAGCCATTGACTGCATGTCGGCTCATTCAAACTCCGGAGCAGAGGCTGAACTTGAGATACTGTAAGGTCTAGATATATATATATATATAT